GCTGTGTGACCCTGGGTAAGTCACTTAACCCTGTTTGTCTCAATTCCTCATCTGTAAAATGAGCTGGAGAAGGAAATGGCAAACCACTTGGCCTGAAGTCCTTTCCTTTGCCCTCAATGACTAGGAGAACAAACAATGCAGAGACAGCCCATACATATGCCTGTGAAGACTGCTTCTGTCCACTCCAATGACCCCAAGCATCCCCAAATGGCTTATTGCCTCTAAAAATATTGTCCAGTATTACTAGACTTTCATGAATTGTATTCACTTTTCCCATTCCCAAGTTCAAGTCACTTTTCCACATAGTCCCATGGGATCATGCTATCTTTTTCAGTCTTCATCAAAATTTATCAAAGAATGATGTCTCTGGACCCTAGATTCTTCTCACCATACTGCCATCTATTGTTGTGGATGAAAAGACTAAATCCATGCTTTTAATGTATGATTAAACCCTGTTGGCCAATAGAAATTCTAAGCTGTGTATTGTATTTTAGTTAATGCTTACCTATGGGGAAGATTGGGGAGGCAGGGGAGAGGATCCACTTTTTGGAGAGAAAAATCTTGCCTAACTGAGCTAGGTCGGGAGTTTGGAGTCGTTATTGAATTAAAGCAAAGTGGGGGAAATATGTTAGATTTGTATAAAAGAATATGAAACCAAATTTGCTACTACATTGATTTCCTATATGTATATGAGCTAGTACAACCCAGCTGAGGACAGAAAGGAAAACCACATCACAGAGGGGGCGGGAATGACTTGAGAAGTTCTATCTATGCCTAGGGAGGGGAAGAGTGCACCTGATATGATTAACACTTCCATTTGCCTTGTTTGCCAGTGCCATCTGATAGTGAGACAAGGTACTTTAGAGGGGTGTATGGTGAGGCACTATCAGCTGGTGGAATCAGGAAAAACCTCATCTAGGACTGGACCCAAGCTTTGGAGAAAACTAGGAATTCTAAGAGGTGAAGTTGGGATTGGGGCGGGGGCTACATTCCCAGCATGGATGACAAGCATATACTGGACAAAAAGTTGGAAATGGAATGGTGTGAATGAGGAATAATAAGCCAGCCCCAGTTGGGCTGAAAGTAAAATGTATAATAGTGGGAAAATGTATAACAGGCTTGAAAAGGTATTGTAGAACCAGGTTGTGAAGAACTTTAAATGCCAAACAATGGAGAAGTAATAGGGAGTCACTGAAGCCTTTTGACCAAGAGAGTGACATGGTTCCCCCCCATGCCTTAGCTATGTCAATCTGGCAGTTATGTGAAGGATAGATTGAAGAGGTAAGAGACTTGACCCAAGGAAACCAACCAGGAGTCTATTGCAGCAGCCCAGATGCGAGGTGATGAGGGTCTGAACTAGGGTGGTGAGCATATGAATGGAGAAAGGGTCGGACTCAAGAGAAGCTGTGGATGTAGAATTGATAAGATTTGGTAATTGATTGGATACAGAAGGTGAGGGAGAGTGAAGAGTTGAGTGAACCTGGGTGACTAGAAGAATGGCAGTTCCATTGATAGAAATAGGGAAATTCAGAAAAGGGTAAGTTTGGTGGAGAAAGGCAATGAATTTTGTTTTGCAGATGATGAGCCTGAGATACCCATAGGACAGAAATATCCAGCAAGACTGTTGGCAATTTGAGACCAGAGCTGAGGAGAGAAACTAGAGAAGGATGTATAGATCTTGAAGTTTATCTGCACAGAGATGATACTTGTACCCATAAGAACTGATGAGATCACAGAGATAAAGGGTTAAGAGAGAAGAGAGAAGGCCCATGATAGATCTTTGGAGTACATCCACCATATAGGACAAGACTTGTATGATGATCTAGCAAAGGAGTCTGTGAAGGAATTGTAAGAAAGTTAGGAGAGGGAACCCAAAGTTTTAAAAACACATGTTTAAAAAAAATGTTTTCACATGCAATTGGGAAATAAGAAATACAGGAAATGGAGTACAGAAATCTATCCTGCCCTACAGGAAAATAGAAGGGGAAGGGGAAACGAGAAGGGAGGGAGAGATAGAAGGGAGGGCAGACTAGGGGAAGGGATATTCAGAATGCATGCCACCTTGGGGTGGAGGGAGGGGCAAAATGAGGTGAAAGTTTAGAACTCAAAATCTTGTGGAAGTAAATGTTGAAAACTAAAAATAAATAAATTTTAAAAAGTAGAAATATAACAAAATTAAAATTTTTTTTAAAAATTTAAAAAAGAAAGTTAGGAGAGGGGCAGCTAAGTGGCACAGTGGATAGAGCACTGGCCCTGGAATCAGGAATAGCTGAGTTCAAGTCTGTCCTCAGACACTTACTAGCTGTGTGATGCTGGATAAGTCATTTAATTCTGATTGCCTCCCCCCACTCCCCACCAAAAAAAAAAAATAAAAAAGGTAAGAAGTAAACCAAGTGAACAGTGTCATGAGAACCCACAGAGGAGAGAGTATCTAGGAATAGAGAGTGATCAACAGTGGCTTATGCTATGAAGAGGACAAGAAGGATGAGAATTCAGGAAATGCTATAGGATTTGTTTTTGTTCTTGTTTTTTTTTTTGGCTAGGCAATGGGGTTAAGTGACACAGCTAGTAGGTGTTAGGAGAGGGAACCCAAAATTTTAAAAACACATGTTTAAAAAAATATTTTCACATGCAACTGAGAAATAAGAAATACAGGAAATGGGGTACAGAAATCTATCCTGCCCTATAGGAAAATAGTAAATGTTATTACGTGTCTGAGGCTGGATTTGAACTCAGGTCCTCCTGAATCCAGAGCCGGTGCTCTATCCACTGCGCCACCTAACTGCCCCACATAGGATTTGGAAATTAAGAAATCAGAGAAAACTTTGAAAAGAGCACTTTCACTTGTAATGAGGTTAGAAGCCAAGTTGCGAAGGGCTGAGAAATGAGAGGTGAGCCAGAATACAGTGTAAGAGTACAGATAACTTTTTTTCCCCCTTAAGAGTTCTGCTGTGAAAAGAGGGAGAGATGATAGGTTGAAAGGTCGAGTGAAGAGTTAGATTTTTTTTAAAGGATGAGGGAGATCTGGTCTTGTATGTAGGCAACAGAGAATGAGCCTATAAATAGGGAGAGGTTGGAGATTAAAAAGAGAGGAGTTGATTGCAGGGGGGAATCTTCCTGAGGAGATGGGAGAAAATGGGATCAAAGGCACAGGTAAACAAAACAGTCAAAAAAGTTGAATTAATCCTAATTAATTAATTAAAATTAATCCAAAGCTGAATTAATAGAGGCATAGTTTCTGGAATGAGGTAGACAACAATGTCACTACATTCCTCTTTGGTCAGATCACATCTGAAATATTCTGTCAATGACCTGGGACTGGAGTGGGCGATGTGGGTCTTTGAATATCCAGTTCCAAGGGAAGTGCTCCCATAAAACTCCGTACTACATTTATATCACCTTCGTGTCTGAATATGTCTTTCTTTCCTCCCCATACCCAGCAAACCATCTCTTGTAACACTAAAAAAAAAGAAAGAAAAATAATTTCAGCAAAACAAAGCAAGCCCATCAGCCCAATTTGATAGCGTATGCAATATTCCAGACCAATAGTTTCCCACCTTTTTAAGGATGGGAGAAAAGTAATCCATTTTCTCATCTCTTCTCTGGGGCCAAGTCAGAGTTTAAAAAATGTAGTTTTCCAGTGCATGTAAGTATTGACTTATAGACCACTAACTATTTGACAGAGGTGCTGGGGACTATTTAGAGTTGATCATTGTCCTTTTAAATTCAATAAGAAATGACAAAAAAGCATCTCTGAGATAAATGAATGAGAAAATAGGATTCTTCTTCTCCTACTTGCTCCTAATTTTTCAGCTGGGTCTACTCTATCAGGAAGCGTGAAAGAAAACCCAGAACTCTCCACAGTGCATGCAAAGAATCAAAGCTGAGTCTACCTCTTCGGTCTCAGAGTCAACCTCATGCCCTGTTCCTGCCTTGACTCTGGCCCCAAACACAAGTTCTAGTTATGGGCCACCCCAATTCACTTGTCCATGTCCTATTCTGGCAGCATGGGGTAGGTAGATAGAGATTTAACCTTGGAGGGAGGAAGTCCTGGGTTCAAGTCTAGTCTCTGACACGTACTAGATTGTGGACAAGTCACATAACCTACTGAGGTAGTGTGGTATGGTGGTAAAGAGCATTGGATTTGGAATTAGAACAGCTGGGCTCAAGTCCTATCTCTCCTATCTTTTGCCTAACGTGTGACTTTAGGCAAATCATGTAACTTCTGTGACCTTCAGTTCCCCATCTGTAAAATGGAGGAAGGTGATTTGGACTAAATGACTTTTGAGGTCCCTTCTAGTTTTAAATCTACGAAACCTCCTCAATGTCCATGGTAATTCTCTAAAACCATAAGGTACAGAACAGCTGCTGATACACATTCGTGGAGTGAGTTTCAGCATTGGGAAGTCTTTACACAGAGAAAATCACAGACCCTATTCTGAGGTGATTGTTTTGGGCCAAGTTGAGTTCTTGCTTAATTTTTCCCTTCAAATTCTTCCCTCCAAAGGAAAGCCTGTGATCACTATTCCTAGAATGTTTTGTTCTCACGCATAACATCATAGGTATATATCACTACCCTGCTCTTGTGGGAGTTCATGGTTTTGTCAACTTCTGGTCTCTTTTTCTTTATCTTCTGTTCTTTTCTCTCCCTTGCCCCTGGTCTGAGGACCTCAGGAATGAAGATGACTGGGTTGTGGGGTGGGATTCTCTAGGCCTATGGCTGATTGGGTAAATGGGACTTAGGCCACATAGGAAATAGGGTTAGGAGAATGGTGTTGGGAGAAAGATATGGCAGAAATGGGGAGAGCGGGAGAGGATTAAAGAACTTTTTCCTGAGTCCCCAAATAGGTCACCCAGACTTTGGATCACTTCAGAAGCTAGAGAATCTGGGGTATACTCTGCCTTAGACACAAGGGGGCCCTTAGATCACTTCCACTTAACTACCACCATCCCCACCCCACCCCACCCCAATGATGCAACAAAATGCAGTTAGGTTTATGCAATTTTATTTTCTCAGTGGAAAGGCATGTTAGGTGGAGGTGGCCCTGTCATCCTCCAAGAAGGAGCAGTGCCATGAGTGGGGATGCAGCCAAGGGCCATCAGAAGGCACAGCTGCTCTCCACAAAACGGCGGCACTTCATGACCCGGAGGTAGGTCTCGGCTTTGTGCAGGTCCTTCTTGAAGCAGGAGAGCAGCCCATAATTCTTGAGCAGTGCCTCATCACTGCGTAGGTTGGTGTCGAATTTGTCATAGGTGGTCTTGAGGACCAGGCCGCCCCTTGAGCTGCCATCCTCCAGCTCCTTAAAAGAGAGGGGAAGAGGGGTGTTAAGGGGAACCTTTTCCATCTCATCTATTCCCTCTTCACTCCCACCTGGGCTTGAAATCAAGAAAATAAAAAGAAAATAGGATCACTGGCTCAAATGAGAAAAGTAAAGAAAGAGAATGGTTTCTTTAGCCATCAAAAAAGGCCTTGGATTCAGGGTCTTCTGAAAGAAAGGAGTGGCAGCCCTCCTACTTCCCTTATCCCCTCTTAATCTCTCCTTCTTCCCCGCTTCTCCCCACCAGCCATGATTAAGTTAGAAGAGATCCTACACCCAAGGTAGGGGCTACTGGAAGTAGCTTAGTGCACAGGAGTGACGCTTGGGTCCTGGAGTATGTCAGGAGCTCTCCAACCTTACCTGCATGAGAGCCTGGATCCCTTCTTCCAGGTCCCTCAGCTTCTCATAGACCCGGTCTGAGGTGCCGAAGACCAGGCTGTTGGTGAAGACCCTGCTGAGGAACTGCACAGGGCTCAGCCAAGATTGGATAAGGAGAAGGGAAAAACGAAGCAATTCCACATCCTGCGGATGGAGGAGAAGGGAGGAAAGGCGGGAAAACTGTGAGCGAGAACATTAAAAGGGAACTCTAGAACCAGGAAAGGGTTAATTCTATTCAAGACCCATTTATTAAGGGCTGATTCTAAAGACTAAAAGCTTCACCTGCAGTCTTCTTCTATTTTTTTTCCTGTTCTTCCCATTTTAATTGGTATCTTATACATTCAGAATAAAAATAAATTAAAAAAATTAAGATCCTGCTATGCACAAAGTACTAAATTAATCTGCCCTGGGTACCTGCTCTTGCCCTGGGCAGTTGTTCTAATATCCAGGGCCCTGAGTCTTCTTGATTTGCAGTGAGAGAGCTAGAGAAACAACTCTAATTTTGAAGGTGAAGGGAAGAGAGGAAGGAGGAAACTGCTCAGACTTCTTGGGGAATTGGCAGTACTCAGCTTCAGGGGGACCGACTCCTTGGGTTCTTTCTTTGTTTCACCTAGAGAGAGACAAGGGGCTGGGGGTGGGAGTGGGAAGGGGGAGTCGCTCACAGATCTCTGCTGGGCCTCATCCTTGCCAGTGGGAGCTGGAATGGTCTCAGAGAAGCAGAAAGCTGTCTGGGTACTCTGGATGGAATGTCTCTGTGCCTCTGGAATGTATGTACGCTCCTGTGTAAATAGCCAAACAAAAGTAGTGAGTGGCCAAAGCCAGGACTGGGGCCAGATACAATGCACCTCTTCTAAGAAACACTTTTCAGTTCCCATCTCTGTCTCCTCTCCACCTCCTCCTGACTCTGATCACTCCACCATTTTGAATCCCCCTCAGTACTTATGCCCAGTTGCCTATACTTTTTTTCCATGTGAATGTCCAAATTGAATTTATCTGACTCCCCTTCTCAGCTCCCCAATACTATCAACAGGACCCCTGGCTCACCACTTTGCAGCCATTTTTGATACTTTTCTTTCATCTCTTCACCCATCCATTCAGTGACCACCAAGTCTTTCCAGTTCTTCCTGAATGATTTCTACTACATTCCTGCTACCACCATCTTAGCCCAGGTCCTTACTCCTACACACTTGGGCTATTGACATAGCCTCCTGCCTGTCCTCTCTGACTTTGGTGTTCTCTCTTCCGTTCAATCTATTGCACTATGAATCATCTTCAAGGAAAACTGCTTACAGGACTGTAGTAGCTTCTGATTTCCTCTCGCATTGAATTAAAGTTTGTACAGATCCCTCTGCACCACCATGTCTTTGCTCTGCTCCAACCTCCCTTTACCCAAGTCCCCATCTCTCATGGACTCACAAACTCCTTGTATGTGTCAGCAACCAGCTGGTGCAGATGCTGAGCACGAAGCACAGCATTGGCAAAGAGGCTGGACAGAGGCATGGCCGGGAAAGCACCGGCACTCTGCGGCCCCAGCAAGGTGAAAGTTACGAGAAGCAACACAGAGACTCGAGTACCTGGAAAAAGAAAGAATGAGTTTCTCTATCCTATCACTAGCTTCAATGGTGCCTGTCCTGATCCCATAAGAACCTTCTCTTTCCTGCTAATGGTACCTGGATGATGAACTTGGCACCCAGCCCCCATCTCTGGACCCTTAGTTTCCATTTTCCCATGATTCCCCATTCCTGACCTCCAATTTTGGCATTTGATGGTCTAAATTCTGGCACTTAATGCTCATCCCAGGTACTTAGCTTCTCCTCTGGGGACAGGAAGTGTTTTAAATGTTGTTAAACTTCTGAACCAAGAAAAGACTCAAAAGAAATTTTCATCTGTAATCAGATGCCCACAACCAAGGCTTTATTTGTCCCTCAGTTTACATCATTATTCCTATCTCTGCTTCCTGGGAAACCCCCTAAAAGGCTGTCCCTAGGGGTCTTCCTTCTGTCTCAGCCCTCCCAGGTCCCTTCTCCAGGTTTCCCTTCCTTCTCACAGCCCATTTGGGAACTAGTTAAGATTCTCTGTTGTCTTTGGGCATAGAAAGAGGATGAGGACCTGTTGTTCTCTTTCCCCAAAAAGGTTAGAATAAGGGTGAAAGGGATGAAACTGGTGGAATAGATGCTAAAAATAAGGAAAGATTTCTGACAGAGAGGGTATAAAAACTATTGGTCCAAGAGGGAAGGAAGGGGGCAGAGGAATGGGTGCTGGTCTTTGAGATATCTGGGTAGAGTACCTGGAGCCATCTCCACTGGACAAGCTGGTCTCAGGATCCTGGTCGACGTAGGTGGCTGAGTCCTAGGTCTCTGGAACTGCTCCCCTCCAGCACCTCCTTATACCCTAGTCCCCCCTTGTCTCCCCCACCTTGCTCCTCCATTATGCATTGCTTAGTACCACTGGGGGCTGAACTGATGGATAATTTAAAGGCAGAAATGCTGAATTCTCCTCCCACTCAGATGCTGTTTCATAGCTTCTTCATCCCTTTCTGGGGTGTCATTCTCCCCCCCTCTGTACCCAACCTTTAGAGCCTTCTCACCTGCTTTCCCCCCTCCCACTTCCCTTCACACATGAACGTTGAGTCTGTGTCTGCCCCACCTGCCTTAGCCTGAGGACTCTGTGTTCTCCCTGCATCCTGAGTATTTGGACAAATGCAAAGAAAATACCCGGGCAGAGAAGCAGATAGAAGAGATTCAGGGCTAAAGGAATTGGGCGGGGGGCGTGAAATGAAGAGGGGGCCACCCCTATAGCCAATTCTCAGCATTTATCTGGAAAAGAAATGAATATGTTTAGTGGGTACCATGATGAAAACATTCCATCTTTGTCCTTTTTTTTGGTGGTGGTGGTGGGCAGCAGCAGTGGTCTATGTCCTTCAATGCTCTAATATCATAGGGTTGTAGGTTAGAGTCCCATCCTAGCCCCAAATCTTGACTATTTGGAGAAAAAGTTGGGATAATCCCTTAACATAAGTACTTCTGAACACTTTTTACTCACACTCTACTTCTCTCTTCCAGTCCAGAGAATGGGTCTATATTGACCATCAGTCATCAGAGGGTTATTCAAGGAAGGAAGCCAGGTTCTTCTCTGCTCTCTGCTCCCTACATCTTCCCCAATCAGGCCCTAATGCCTTCCTTGAGCTTTGGGGCTGCTGCATATGGTACACTAGAGAGCACTACCTCAAAGAACCTTTTTTGTCTGGGCCATATGGTCCCTATGGGCTTTAAGGACCCTTGGTTTGGAAGCCCGAGTCTTGCTGTGCATCTTAAAGACTGAGAGAGGTAAAGGGAGAGGTAAATCTTCCTCCTTCTTCTAGAAAGAAAGAAAGTAGATAGCATCTCTGTGTTTGAGGGTAAGATTTCTAGTGCTATCTCAGGCCTAATTCAACTTTGAGGGAGGGGAGAGGTGTTGTGGAAGAGAGGTCAGTTTTCTTGCTGAAACCAGTGAAGCAGGAAGGTTGCCCAGAAGACTTGGGCAAATCTTATGGAGTATCTTCTCTACTCCCATTTTATCAAGGAGAAGCCAGATTTATATGAAAATAAAGAATATCCTTAGAGAGAAAACCACAGAATGTCAGAGCTGGAAGGGACCCTAAAGACCCACTATTTCAGTCCCCTATTTTTGCAGATAAGAAGGCACAGAAGAGCAACTCAGTGGAAGGAGGGTATAAAAAGAGGCAAGGACAGTCCTGTATACCTTATCTGAGTGGTGGGGGAATTTGCTGTTATTTGCTGTATAGGTTGGCTCTTTTGTGAGTGGACTGGAGAGGAATATTGGGGGAAATACAAAATAAAAGCTTATATAAATATATATAAATATAAAACTTTTTATTGGAAACAACTTGTGATTTCATTGGTATAGTGAACTTTTTTTTTTTTTTTTTGGCTAGGCAATGGGTTTAAGTGACTTGCCTAGGGTCACACAGCTAGTAACTAGTCAAGTATCTGAGATTAGATTTGAATTCAGATCCTCCTGACTTCAGGGCTGGTGCTCTATCCACTGCACCACCTAGCTGCCCCTATAGTGAACTTCTGATGAATAAACTCCTTTTATCAATGCAGATCAAATCAGCTGTTGTTCAATTATTTTGGTTGTATCTGACTTTTTGTGACCCTATCTGGGGTTTTCTTGGCAAAGACACTAGAGTGATTTATCATTTCCTTCTCCAGCTCATTTTATAGATGAGAAAACTGAGGCAGTGACTTGCCTAGGGTCACACAGCTAGTAAGTATCTGAGGCCAGATTTGAACTCAGGTCTTCCTGACTCCAGGCCAGATGCTCTATTCATGCCACTGCCTTAACTGTTGATCAAATCAGCACTTGCTCTAAAATTTTTGGTGTTAGAGAGTTGACTCACACAGAATCAATACTTGAAACTTGATGATGGTGATGATGATGGTGGTGGTGGTGATAAAGATGATGGTGATGGCGGTATTTTACCATTTATATAGTACTTTAAGGTTTTCAAAGCACTTTGCAAACATTATCTCATTTAAACTTCACCTAACTGGGTGAGACAGGATCTACATAGATTTAGTATCCCCATTTTACAGATGAGGAAATTGAGGCTCAGAAATTAAATGACCTGTCCAACATCACACAGTAAGTCTCAAAGATAAGATTTGAACCAGGGTCTCTACAAGTCTACTACAAGTCTAGCACATGGCTGCCTGATTTTTTATGTTAGAGCTTCAGGTGCTCTGGCTCTGGTCTCAGGGAGCAAAAAGAGACATTGATCCATACATCCTCCATCAATGGGAAAACAAGAGGGGGCCATGGAAGGAACTGGCTCTTTGAAAGATATTAATACTTGGTGGGGTGAGGGACAGGGTTCCTTCCCAAAGTTCCCTGGAACATAGAATCTTTCAATGAGTCTGAGTTTTGTGGAGTGAGGGAAAAGAGACTTTCTTAGAAGGCCTCCTTAGGGTTCTTCCCAGCTCCACCAAAGTGAAGGAAACAGTCAAGAAGTGGTGGTGGGAGGGTCCCTATGCCCCACATAGCTCCCTATGCCTCATGCTCCACTTCTGACTGTACCATTTGGTGAAGGATAGAGAGGACTTGACAGAGCACCAGTCACAAAAGGGGTTTTTGGTTTAGGCCTGGGACCTGGGGGGGGGGTTTAGTTGGTCTGTCTTTTTGGGTGGGGGTATAGAGTAGGGATTTTGGGGAAAATCTTCCTAGGCTTCCTGAGGAGAGTTTTTGAACATATCTGCTTTAAAACTACATATAGAGCATATAGGTTCTTTTCCTTTTTCCCTAATCATCTTCAGAAATAGACCTAGTGGTATGGCTTGAGGGAGAGGGAAGAAAAAAAAGGAAAAAAATTACATGATAAATTTATTATATATTTAAAAGGAATAGCAAGTTGTATATAATAGATTTGCCATTACATGTGCAATCATCTTTTTTATTATTCTACCATATTATGCAAATGCCTTTTTATTTCATTAATTAAAAATAAAATTTAAAATAAAAAAAACCCTACAGATAGAATATGAGTTGTAGAAGGTGTGGTATAGGAAGGAAGGGGAGAGCTGGGGGGAAGAGGAGGAGAAGCTATGGATGAGATTTTGGACTAGCAGATTTCTGAGGAAGGCAATTAGGTTAAACCCAAGGATGAGGTGTTGCTGGCAACAGATCTTGGAACCAGGAAGAGACAGGAAGGACAGATGCTCCTTTCAGGGTCACAGATCAGGGAGATGACCCAGGAAACCTAGAGGTCTAGACTGTGTTCAGACAACTGGCCAGAACCAAGAGTGAAAGAACTGAAAGAGGAAAAAGGGATTGCTGCTTTGGAATAGTACCCAGAGCAGATGTTTGACTATTTGGTCCTCCTATACACAGGAACATTTTGAATAGATTTGTGAGTTCATTTCCTCCTTACCCTCAGCTGCTAATGGTTGGGGTGGGATCATACTGAGCCATCCACTCTTATGACCCATGTGTGGAAAACAGCCAATCAAAGTTCTTAAGAACATTGGAATTGATAGCCTAGGTCAGACCCATGGTCTGTCAAGACCAGGATTCTGGCTCTAGACGTTACGATCCTGGTTATCCTCTCTGATGTCTACCTCAGAACGTCCTGTTTTTCTTGGCACTATCCCATCGTCCATTAATTTATTTCAACATCTCTTGAAGTTGTTTATATTTTCATTCTTGACCACTTTGGGGGGAATGAACCTTCTGGGTAGGGTTGGCTCTCTTTCGTTGACTCTAATCTCTTTCAAACTCTAAGTGGCCCCCTTCGTTCTAGCATGATCAGATTGGGTGAACGAACTCTTTCACGTTTTCATAGATTTCAGTCCATCCTCATACGGGTCATAGGATTAGATTTAGAACTAGACGGGACCTCAGACATCACCAAGTGCACACATACTCTCCCCGCCCCCTCTCATTTTACAGATGAGGAAACTGAGACCCAGGGAGATTGGGGCTTGCCTAAGTTCACACAAGTAGTAAGAATGAGAGGTGAGATTGGAACTCAGTTGTTAGATATGCCCATTCTTCCTTTCCTCCCCCCGCTCAACAGATTCCTATCCTTCTGACCATTTTAGCGGCTCTATCCGTGGTTGAAACTTTGCTAGTCCATTATAAAGTACCTGAGTTCTAGAAACCACCACTGTACCCGGTGTTTCCAGGCATAAAAAAGATTGTGTCTTCTTCTATTCAGTTTGCCTGGTTAAACACCAGCACATTGTACTGGCATCTTTAGAGATTAAAACAATTTTTTAATTTTTGCCTTTATTTATTTATTTATTTATTCATTTATTCATTTATTTATTTTTTGATGAGGCAATTGGGGTTAAGTGACTTGCCCAGGGTCACACAGCTAGTAAGTGTCAAGTGTCTGAGGTCAGATTTGAACTTAAGTCGTCCTAACTCCAAGGCTGGAGCTCTATCTACTGTGCCACCTAGCTGCCCCCAGAGATTAATACTATTAACAAGCCAAGGCAGTAAGCGTTTATTAAGTGCTTACTATGTGCCAGCTATTGTGCTGAGTGCTGGGAATATCAATGCAAACAAAAAGAAAGATGATTCCTACTCTCAAGGAGCTTATATTCAAATGAAGGAAGACAAAACATATAAGGGTGCTGAAAAGGTGGAGGGAGGTACGGGGTGGCTCATGGGGGTATGTGGAGACAAAGGTACCCAAGTTACGGCATGGTGGAGAAGTTCAGAGAGTCAAGAGTGGAGCCAGTAGAGCAGACCTGCACAACTTAGCAGTAGGTAGGGGCCAAAATTAAAACAGACTAAATTTCTTTAGGCCACGGATAGGTTTTTAGAGACTCACTTTTCAAGTAAAGGTACTTAATGATAAGCTGTGTCTCAAAAACACTTTTTTTATTGGGACATAATCCAGAAACTGCAATCAGCAAACATTTCTTTATGAAGTCACCTTTAGTAAAGACTTCCCAGCAGTAGCAATTTCTTTAGAAATCAGAAAACTAACCTTAGTAGCCACCTCATTTTCTGAGTTTACTTTCTTGAAAAATCATCATTCCCCACTGAGATTTTTCAACAATTTGGACACTTTAATTTGTTTTTCATTGG